TTTTTTTGTCTTTTTGAAGCAGGGTCTCCCTGTAGCCCCAGCTGTCCTGGAACTCACCATGTAGACCAGGCTAGCCTTGAACTCAGAGATCCGCCTGCCTCTGCCTCCCAACAACTGGGACTACAGGTGTGTACCACCATGCCTGGCTAACTTCACTTTTTTTAAAGTTTTCTTTGTTTTATGTGTTTGTACAAGTGCTATGTGTGCATGTATTTTAAGTGCACCATGTTGTGCAGTGCCTGCGGAGGCCAGAAGAGAATGTCAGCTCCCCTGTGTGGAGTTACAAATGGTTGTTAGTCACCATGTGGGTGCTGGGATTTGAACCCAGTCTTCCACAAGAGCAGCCAGTACTCTTAACTGCTGAGTCATCTCTCCAGCCCCAACTTCACTGACTTGATATCAATGGAATGTATATATTTTCCTATTAAAAGACATTCTGTTGAATCCCATATGTCCTTTAACATTGGCAGATGATTTAAAGTCAAACAGTCACCATTACAAGTTCACAAGTCATCAGTGCCTCCTTGATTTTATTTGCTAACAGCTTTATTGAAATATAGTTGACATATGAAATTCAAGTCAGTAAAAATGCACAATTACTCAAATTTACAAATTACTATGTTGAGTATATTCTTTTTTTTTTTTCTTTTTTGGCCTTTTTGAGACAGGTCTCCCTATAGCCCCAGCTGTCCTGGAACTCACTGTGTAGACCAGGCTGGCCCTGAACTCACAGAGCTCTGCCTGCCTCTGCCTCCCAAGTGCTGGGATTAAAGGCGTGCTCCACCACACCCGGCTTGAGTATATTCAAAGTTACTCAGTCATCATCTCATTTTTTGAAAATTTTTATTTTCAAATGCTCTATACTTTTTAGAAAGCCCTATTCCATCTCAGACTTAAGGAACCAATCCACCTAAGTATTACCAAGCTGTCTAATCTGAATAGTTTAAGTGAAATCGAATTATCTATTTTCTATCTTCTTTTGTGCCTGGTTCATTTTCCTTGGCATAATTTTTCCAATGTTCACGCATGTTCTAACATTAATAAATATTTACTTCTTGCTACTTATTAATATTCATTGTATGGATAAGCCATACCTTTATTTACACATTCTTCAATCAATAGACCTTTGCATTCTTTCCATTTTGAATTTTTTTTTTTTTTGGTCTTTTTGAGACAGGGTCTCCTTTGTAGCCCCAGCTGTCCTGGAACTCACTATGTAGACCAGGCTGGCCTTGAACTCACAGAGATCCGCCTGCCTCTGCCTCCCAAGTGCTGGGATTAAAGGCGTGCGCCACCATGCCCAGCTCCATTTTGAATTTTTGAATTTTTATTAATGATGTTGCTGTGGCAATGCATGTACAAGTTCTTTTGATTGAAAATGTTTCATTCTTTTGGCTGAATTTTTATCAGTGGAATGGCTGGGTCATGTCATAACCATGGCTGGATCTTTTGAGGAGTTGCCAGTGCTAATGTGTATTCTAAAGTAACTGTACCATCTTCTGGTCCATCAGTATTGAAAGAACATTTTAATTTCTCCACTTCCTAGCTAACACTTTCTTTTTTTTTTTTTTTTTTTTTTTTTGGAGACAAAGTCTCACTATTCATCGCTAGCTAGCCTGAAATTCACTATGTAAACCAGGCTGGCCTCAAACTCACAGAAATCCACATGCCTCTGCCTCTAACTGGCTTGCCCTTGCACTTTATTGATGGTGACTTTGAGGCACAATACTACTATACTATGATGCAGCCTAGTTACTGTTTATGATTTTGGTGTCCTTCATATAGAAGGTTTGCCTGATCCAGTCATGATAACATATGCCTATGATTTTTTTTCTTAGAATGTCTCATTTCATACATTAATGTTGTATTTTTAGTTAATTTTCATATATGGTATTTGGTGGTGGTAGTCCACTAAGAAAGCTTTAGAACACCTAATGATTTTGCATGATTTGTTGAGACTCGATTGGACAAAAACGGGAATTTGCTTTGAGAGTCTCAAAACTGATACAAAGATCTCCCTGTCTTTATCTAAGCTAGGACCAAATCAAATTAATTTATCAAATGAGAACTCTTTTCCAGTCATGTTGCTTATTGTAAGTCAATGTGATGGAATGTCTTTAACTTCCTTTCTTTAATTCCTGTGGAGACTTTCTCCATCTTGAAGGAACATTTTAAGTTGTCAGTCAGGACTGTCTCCTGTCTCTGTCAGAGTTCTTGTCCAAAGACTCTTGCAATAATGGAGTTGGCAGAGAGCAAAGGGAAAACAAAGGGAACTTTGTCACATAGAAATAACAGTTTGAACAGGAAAGTAAGAACTTCAAGACTCTAGGTTTCAGCAGGATGCCAACTGAGAGAAGTTAATCGTGTTCCAGGTCTAAGACCCCAGCAGGCTTTGAGATGCAACCAAGAGATTGTGTTACAGCTACAAAGCTCTTGGAGGGTTTCAGGGTGCCAGCCAAGAATAGCCTCCTGCAGAGCAATTCTGCAGATCACCAGTGGGAGTAGAAGGAGCTGATCTCCCATCTCCTGCATGTCTCAAAAGGCTGGAGTTGAGTGAGCAAAAGTCTCAGGCATGGGGAGCCAAGTGAGTCCCTCTCGGGGAGTTGTCCACTGAGTTCTTACCTAGTCTTCTGTTCTTGAAGCCCCAGAACATTAGGATTTATAGGGTATCAGTTGGGCCCTTTTTGGCTAGATGTGGACATGCAAATAAGATTAGAAATGGGGCCAATCAGGAAAAGCTGTCCAAAAGTTGCCAGCAGCCAGGGCTCAGCAGTTAAGAGCTCATACTGCTCTTCCAGAGGTCGAGAGTTCCCCATCAGGCTGCTCACAATTGCCTGGAACTCTAGCTACGGGTGATATGTGCCCTCTTCTGGTCACTTGCACTCATGTGTACATACACACACACATACACACAAACACATAAGTAAGTACTAAAATAAATATTTTTTAAGAAGTTGCCAGTAATTCTGGTTGCTATGGTGGTCTTTGTAGGCTAAGCCTGTTGCAAACTTATAATCATAGCAATAATTTGCTAAGTATTGCTTTCCTAGAGAAATCTATATGGAAGCTGGGCTAGAGAGATGGCTCAGCAGTTAAGAACACTGGTTGTTCTTGCAGAAGCCCCAGGTTCAAATCCCAGCACCCACATGGCAGCTAACAACTGTCTGTAACTCCAGTCCCAGGTTATCCAACAGCCTTTTCTGACCTCTGCGGGCATTGTATGACACAGGTGCACTGATCTACACGCAGGCAATGCATGCATACACATAAAATAAAAATAATTTTTTAAAAATTTTTAAAAAAGAAATCTATATGGAAGCTATATCACATGTCTACACCTAGTCTTAAAAGTCACTAGAAACCAATTACTAAAATAAAGTCACATTCAGGAAAGGAGCTTTCACAGGAGAAATGTCAGGAGTGTGTAGATACACTTAAAAACCGCCATTCTAACTCATGGTGATGACACACACCTTTAGTCCCAGAGCTCAGGAGGCAGAGGCAGGCAGATCACTGTGAGATTAAGGCCAGCCTGGTCTACATAGCAAGTTCCTGGCCAGCTGGGGCTACAGGGAGACACTGCCTCAAAAAGACAAAAAAAAAAAAAAAAAAAAAAAAAAAAAAAAAAAAACAGGAACAAAAAATTCTACCACTCTATAGGGAAGTCATTTGTCTTTAGTCAGTACCAGTGATAACCAACCACATTTTGTTGTTATCTTTATTCAATATGTGCCTGTGTTTTGTGGAATGAATCAAGAGGTTAAATGGTAATTCCCTTGAATTAGAGCATTTCTGTTTAAAAAACAACTGGACATGTTATTGGACTTCCATACTAGAAGATGTCATAAGTTCCTTATCCTGAATCTTTTCTTCTCCAATGTATATTTTTACTGAACTTTTGTGGATTTCGTATAATACATCTAAATCATATTTAGACCCCCTCTCCTATCTGTAACCCCCCATATCCTGCCCACAAGATTTCTTGCATTCTGTCATATATGTTAAGGCTTATCAAATCAAGTTTGTGTACCCAGATATCTCTCATTGTGAGTTCATTCACTGGAGCCTGTTCAACCTGTCTAGCATCACCTCCTTAAAGACAATTAACTCTCCCTCACCCTGCAGTGATTAGCTGCCAATAGTTCCTCAGCTAAGGTGGGGCCTTCTGCCCATTTCCTCAGTTCTTGGCTGGGTTTCTGTCTGATTGAGTTTGCATGGACCTTGTATATGCTGATACCATTGCTCTAAGTTCAATTGAGCAAGTTCCCAGGAGCCTGCAAGACTCTGTGTCCTTATGGTCATGTACCACCCCTGGTTCTTACAATCTCCCTGCCACCCCCTTCTTCAGCAATGGCCCCTGAGCCCTGGGTAGGTAAGGTTTAATACAGGAGTCCTATCCAGGGACACGTACTCTGCAGTCTCTTATTCTCTACACTTTGGCCGGTTGAGGCCTTCTGTGTTCATTGTCTGAATCATTTTTCAAAATATAATTAAAATTAAAAGAAAATATTTGCAGTTCAGAAAAAAAATAAATATGCCTTCAGAATCCATGCCTATAAAACTCATTAATGAGTGTCTCCTTTTCAAGGTCTTATTCTGGGAAAAGATTAGTGATGCAGACCTAAATAACTGAAAATCATGTCCTTAAAACATCTTTGGAAATTATGGGCATTAAACATGGGAGAAATGGGTTAGAGACTTTTAGTAATATGACTTATAGTCACATTAAGGAAAGAACTAAAATAATCACAGAAAAATTATAGCTTAGTTCAAGTATAAATGTATGACACTGATGATGAGTGTGCAGAATATATTTTTGTTATTGCTGGTGATTTTAATTTTGCTTATTTTCTGGATAATTCAATGGAGTGACTCCTAATACTCTGCTGTAGAATATAACTCATTATCGCTGAATTTATGTCCAAATCTCTATTGACTTTGTGTTAGTCTATTCCTGGTTTATATCCTTTATTGTGAAATCATATTATTTGTTCATACAGTTCCACAATCTGAAAGAAAAATGGGAAGCTACATATTACAAATATCTACATATGGTTGTAAAAATTCAGTTTATCGAGCAGGAGTTAGTATCAATAAAAACAGAACAAAAGAAATGTGAAAGCCTACCCAAGAGTCAGAAGGACCTAGCAGAAGAGGTGCAAAGCTTCAAAAGCTTTATACAAGAAAATACGGTACGTGATGATCAAATAGAACAGTATAAATGGGAGTTTAAAGACAGCAAGCATTTTTCAGGAGCTTTAAAAAATTAGTGTCAGCCAGGAGTGGTGGCATATGCCTTTAATCCCAGCACTCAGGAGGCAGAGTCAGGCAGATCTCTGTCTTCAGAGTGAGTTCCAGGGGCTACAGAGAGACCCCATCTCAAAAAGACTCAAAAAAAAGAAAGTTAAATCATACTTTTGACTTTTTCCTCACACTGTTTTTTTCTTTTTAATTTTGAGTTGATTTCTTTTGTTCTGTGAGTTATCAGACTATGAGAGGACTAGTACTGGAGAGACTCAGAGATGAAGCAGCACACGCAGGGAACTGGGGCCAGCACCATCCAAAGGGAAACAAAATACGCTACTTTATTTTATGATTTATATTTAATGCAGTTGATATTGATAATAAAAATTTTAAATCCCAACATCTTATTTAACATATTTACTATTATAAATCATTGGTTCTAAGCTAAAGGGAACAAGTACAAAATAATTACTTGGGGGTTATTTATTCTTAAATTTTATCCTTTTTCTTTAGATACAAGCAGCAGATCAGAAACATATAGAGAATTTAAGAGACAATAAAAACGTTACAATGATAAGTCAGATGGAATCCAAAATTGAAAGCCTGGAATCTCAACTATCAAAAATGGTAACTCAAAATTCTGATGAAAGAAGTGGTTAAACACAAGTGGCTCTGCGTGGAAGAACGCAGCGCCACGAAGGCACTAAGAAGCGATCTAAATGAGTCAAAACCCAGTCGGAGAAAATCATTGACCTCATCGGTTTGTCTCTGAAGCAGGTAATGAGAACAAGAGGACACAGATGCAGCTGCACTGCAGAATCTTCGGAAATAATGCTGGGAAATCAATGTTGACGTGAACTGTTGCTGCAGAACTGTTCCTCCCCGTTCGTTTTTTGGTTTTCTGAAGCATTTTGCCCTCAACTTTCTCATATAATGAACTTGATATCTCTGTCTTTCAGATTCGTATTCTAAAGTTTTCTAAACAAGCCAGTTATATTCTTTTAGAATTACCTGAGTACATTCCATTGCGAAGAAATGTTAACACATTTAACTATTCTGGGATTATTACAACTTAAACTACAATGGACTAGTAGTAAAGACAATCTATTCCCTTGGCACATTGTTCTTTTTTTTTTTTTTTTTTTTTTTTTTTTTTTTTGGTCTTTTTGAGACAGGGTCTCCCTGTAGCCCCAGCTGTCCTGGAACTCACTATATAGACCAGGCTGGCCTTGAACTCACAGAGATCCACCTACCTCTGCCTCCAGAGTTCTGGGATTAAAGGCGTGTGCCATGATACCCAGCCCCCTGGCATATTCTGACACCAGGAATTAACTTGCCTTGATTGCGATTTTTGGTGTTACCAGTTGAGGGTGCTTGCTGACCAACTGTGCTTTATGTTTTTTCTAGCCTATAAAGACATACTTATGACATTGGAAGGATTGACATAACAATAAAGGAAAGAATGTTTCACAGGGTAGTTTTACTCCTTATTCAGTGTGAAGGGGTGTGTGGAAGACAGAAAGATAAGGTTCCACCTTGAGTGGTTTGGCAATGTCATAATAATCTAATTGACTTGGAAGTCACCTTCATTCTCTGACCAACAAATCAGATGTTCCCTCCTCTGCCTAGATTGCTGCACTGAATATGGAGGTGTCAGCTGCTTAGTTTATCCCAGGTCACAGGTGAATTGTACAGACGGTAAAAGCAAATACTTGAAATTGACTTCAATGAGTGATTTTTTTAAAACTCCCAAACCAGCCGGGCATGGTGGCGCATACCTTTAATCCCAGCACTTGGGGGGCAGAGGCAGACAGATCTCTGTGAGTTCAAGGCCAGCCTGGTCTACAGAGTGAGTTTCAGGACAGCTGGGGCTACAGGGAGACCCTGTCTCAAAAAAAGACCAAAAAAAAAAAAAAATCCCAAACCAGGATGAGAGATGGCTCAGCGGTTAAGAACACTGGCTGTTCTTGCAGAAGACCCGTGTTCAAATCCCAGCACCTACATGGCAGCTAACAACTGTCGGTGACTCCGGTTCCAGGCAATCCGACAGCCTTTTCTGTCCTCCTCAGGCATTGCATGACACGGGTGCACTTACCTACATGCAGGCAATATACACATACACATAAAATAAAAATAACTAAAAAAAAAAAAATCCCAAACCATCTGGTCGTTTTGGCCCATGCCTTTAATCCCAGCACTTGGGAGGCAGAGCCATGTGGATTTCTGTGAGGCCAGTCTCTAAAGGGAGTTCCAGGCCAGCTGTGGTTACAGGGAGACCCTGTCTCAAAAAGACCAAAAATAATCCCAAACCAACTTTCAAAATACAAATATTTCTAAATTGTTTTTCAGTTTTGTCTTTTAATTATATACATTTAAGAGCATGATGTGTTATTAATAAATTTATGCATAGTATAACTTTTATTGTAGTTAAGCAACTTAGCATACCCATCATCCACATCATTTTTCTCTAAGTGCAAATATTTTCACTGGCATCCTCAGGAATTTTATAAATGAGGTCCTTCCAAGGCAGCAGTGTTACCTGTTAATCATTCTCTCTCTCTCTCTCTCTCTCTCTCTCTCTCTCTCTCTCTCTCTCTCTGTCTCACTTTGGAAGAATTACTGACTAGCTCAAATCCCTCTAGAAACATTTTTAAAAGCAATTTTAAAGCTGTAGTTTTGTGTAATATGACACTTTTATATTTATTTATTTATTTATTTATTTATTTATTTATTGGTCTTTTTGAGACAGGGTCTCCCTGTAGCCCCAGCTGTC